CCCCGCCTGCCCGCCGAGGCCGGCTTCGACTGGGTCTACTACGAGTCCAAGGCGCACATCCACTGCTCCGTCAAAGCAGGTAAGGAGGGCAGCCTGGCCAGGGACAGGTCGGGGGGGGTGGGGGACACCCCCGGGCCACGGCTCAGCCCCCCCGAGCCCGCTCCGTCCTGCCCGGTGCCGCCCGGGCCCCCTCCTCCCCGGCGCCGCAGGGTCCCCACCAGCCCTGCCCGCCCCCTCGGGGCTGCTCCGGGGATGCGGAGCCTCCTCGTGCTCCCGCCGGCGCAGGGGTGGGGAATAAAAGGAGAGTGGGGGAAAAAAATGGCAAAAAACATTAAAAAAAAAAAGCCCAGCCACCTGCAGCACTTCTTGACAGCATTTTGATTTGGGTGATTTGCTTGCCCAGCCTTCCCACGAGCGCCGCGCCGCAGCCGCACACCCTTCTCCCCCCCCCCGTGGGATTTGCTGCTTTCCCCATCCAAAGAGCATGTTCAACACAAACACTAGTGGCCGTCTCCAGCCGCCCCGCTGGCTGCACGCCTTACTCGCGATCGCTAATCGCCGAGCGGGAGCCGGCCAGGAAAATAAATAAGTAACGTGGTCCCCTGCCTTCTTCAGCGGTAGCCGCTAGGAAATTCCCAGATAGGGATACACACACATATAAATTTTTTTCCCTCCCCTGTGCTTACAACGCCACACGCTGTCTCAACCCGGGAACAGCTCGCAAGAAATCCCCGAGTCGCCGAGTTAATTTTCTTAGCACTTGACACTTTTTTAGGGAGCAAAAGAGTTGGCAAGTGCTGGACCCCCCTGCCGCTTCCCTCCACCTGGCTGCGTGGCCAAAGCGCTTTCTAATAGCATCCTCTAGCCCAGCAGCCCACTGGAAGTGTCAAGAAACACTTGGCTGCAAAAGAAAATAATGAACTTTCTTTAAATATAGCCGTTTGCTTCAAAACCAGCAGCCCCACGGCAGGGAAATGGGCCTGGCCTTGCCATGCCTGTCTGCAAGAGGGGTTCATCCCCCTGCTCCGGCCCGAAGCTCCCCGGGGGCTGAGCCGAGGTAGCACCTCTCCCGGCCCACTCGGGCTTTGTCCTGAGAGCCCGCTACAGCTTTTGTTCAGCTCCCTGGTCCTTTCTAGCCCAAAAGAGGCCCTGCAAAGCTCTCAGCCATGCGGTGATATGAAACATCCCTTTCAATAGCGAAGATGGGCTTTATAGCGCAAGATGTCCGATTGTGGCGCACGATGACCTTAGCCCGAGCGTAGCCCGAGCGTACCCCTTAATCCACCCCCACGGGTATTTCATAGGAGAGGAGTAACCCCAAGCTGCTCATTGAGATTCGGCACACACGGACTTGGGGGCAATATTTAGAGGGTGTCAGGTGGGGTCGTGTGACTGTACCAGGCGGGCTGCAAGGGAGCAGGGTTGAATTCCACCCACTCAGCCTGATTTCAAACTGTCCAAACCTCGTTTCATGACAGAGCATCTTATGAGAAGATTAAACCCCATAATGCCAGGCAGGAAGATTCTTTATCTAGATCTCTGTTTGCAAAAAGTATGATCCCGGAGACTGGAATGCAAAGAAGAGTTCCCCCAAGGCCTGAATTATTGTCACCAGGACAGAGGAGGGAGAGGCAGGGGTGGTAAAAGGGACATTGATAATGCGCTACAGCAAGTATTTAGAGCAAGCTTCTACATTTAAAATTCAAATACAGATCTTGAGTGCCTTGGAAAAGTGGCTCTGCTGTGCAAATAGTGCTTGGAAGGTCCTGGGTTTTTTGGAGAGTATGTGTGTGAATTGGCACATAGGGTTTCTGCACCTGAACAAATAGGGAGGGGGAGAAAAGGGGGGGAAGAAGCTGGGAAAAAAAATGGAAGTGTCCTCTCTTCCAAGAGTGTCTGCATTTATTACATGAATCAGAATGACAATGCTGATCCTTTATTGGATTTTAATTAGAGAACCCAAACAAGCACTGCTCAAAGAAGCAGATTTTCACACCTCTGCCAATTCACTGGCATGTTTGTAGAGCTGCTACACTACTAGATCTATTCATCAAGTCCCTGAATATGCAAACAAAGCTCTAGCCAGACCTTTACCGCCGGCTTGTAGGAAGGTGTAGTTTGCTAGCAGAGGGCTCCACATAAAGCGCATAGCTTGTTTGTTGCCATGTCCTCCCTGAAGAGGCCTTGGAGATCTCGCTGCTTCATTTCTGAAGGAGAAGTGATAAAGTCGTTAGCAAATCAATAACGGTCTAATTTTCGCCCTTCCTGCCCTTCCTGAGAAAGTCATTAGGAGACACTCCAAGGATTTATTTCAATCATAAGAGCTTCAGTACCAGCCACACAAGCAAAATATAAAATCTGACCGCCTTTAGAAGATAAATCACCAGGACTCTAAACTGGCATAGAGAGTAATGGTGAGAAACCAGGAGACGGCAGGGAGGGATAAAGAATGTCAACAGATGTAGCAAAGACACTTGCTACCGTGACATACCATGGGCCACTACCCAATATGTAGAAAATCAGAGCTTTTAGGAACACTGTAGAGTCCCTCAGTTAAGCCAGAGACCAGCCTGGAACAGGGCAGAGGTCCTCTCCCACCTCCCCGCACGTGGCCAAGCTTCCAGAAAGGGCTTTGCAAGAGAGACTTAAAGCCTCATCGCTATTTCTGCTTTCCCCAAACCTGCGATTGTTCCTCTTGGTAGCACTGGAAAGCAGCAGCAGTTCGTGACAGCATTTAGTAACTAAACTCTGAGTAACTCCAAGAGCTGGAGGAGGTGAAGGAGGGATGTGCTGCGGTCTGGCACAGGCGTGGGGCTGCCCGGGGACCACATGCCCTGGGACAGGGAACCGCATCCTCCTTGCAGTGAGGTGGGAGAGGTGAGGGAGATGATGGTTTTTTTGGAAAGAGGAGTGAACTGGAGTGCTGGGGATGGCAGGCATGGGTATTATGGGGGTCGACATGTGCCTCAGAGGCCCCCATGCCAAGCAGGAGAGCAGGGAGGGCTGGGGGCAGCATGGGGTCCTGCAGAGGCAATGGAGGGGGGCTCGGGTGATCCAGGCTGTTGCGTTCCAGTGGGGCGATGGACAAATTCATGTGCTCCTCGGGACAAAGCCTCCTCCTGCTCTCTGCTGTTTGTTGCCCTAGATGGGCTCCCTGCGTAAGAGCTGCGTGGGGACCCTGAGCATTGAGCGCAGACGCTCACCTAGAGGAGAAACCTTATGCCAGCAAAACTGCTTGGCTTTGAAAGCCTGCGAGTTATCCAGCATCAGGTGTCAGTGCAGGGCAGAAAATAGCCAAGTGGGAAGCTCTTCCAGAAAAGATTTGTTCTGGAACAGCTTTCTCGTGGAAATATTTTGGCCCATTTCCTTAATGAGACAAACCACCCTTGTAACTCCTAACCCAGAGGGAGATGTACGGGCTCAAATCTGGCAGGGAGGGGACTCTCACTTGACCCACTGAGTGCAAACGGGGCATGGTCGTAGATGAACGTGGAGGAATTTCAGAAAGGAGTGAGGCTGCATCCTGCACCCGTGCCTCTCGGGCGGGTCAGGGTGGTCGGGGAAGTGGCGTGTCCCCTCGTGCCCCCATGCCCCGGCCTGGCGGCTGCCCCTTCTAACCCTGCTGTGCCTTTCTCCTTGCACAGAAAACTCGGTGGCAGCCAAATCAGGGGGCTGCTTCCCTGGCTCGGCCACGGTGCACCTGGAGCAAGGCGGCACCAAGCTGGTGAAGGACCTGAGCCCTGGGGACCGGGTGCTGGCAGCCGACGCGGAGGGCCGGCTGCTCTACAGCGACTTCCTCGCCTTCCTTGACCGGGAGGATGGCTCCCACAAGCTCTTCTATGTCATCGAGACACGGCAGCCCCGGGCCCGGCTGTTGCTGACGGCCGCCCACCTCCTCTTTGTGGCCCCCCAACACAACCAGTCGCAGGAGGGGACCCCCAGCAGCCGGGCACTCTTCGCCAGCCGCGTACGGCCAGGCCAACGGGTCTACGTGTTAGGCGAGGGTGGGCGGCAGCTCCTGCCAGCATCCGTCCACAGCGTCTCACTGCGGGAGGAGGCTTCGGGGGCGTACGCCCCACTCACCGCCCAGGGCACCATCCTCATCAACCGGGTGCTGGCCTCCTGCTACGCTGTCATCGAGGAGCACAGCTGGGCGCACTGGGCGTTCGCCCCCTTCCGCCTGCTCCAGGGGATGCTGGCTGCTCTCTGCCCCTCCGGCGGGGGGGCCCTGGTGGGTGCCCCCGCCGCCCCCGGTATCCACTGGTACTCTCGCCTCCTCTACCGCATCGGCAGGTGGGTGCTGGGTAGGGGGCGTCTTAAAAAAAAAAAAAAAAAAAGAAAAGAAAAACCTAAAAGAAAAAAAAGGAAAAAAAATTACATATTTTTAAAAGAGAGCACGGATTAAGACTTAAAAATAATAATAATAAAATAATAATAATTAAGTAGGACAGTCCAAAGTAGACTTTAAGGGAAACAAAGACCCCAGGAAGTTCTGTTCTGTTTAGTTTATAAATATATATATATTTTTATTTGTTCTTTTGTTTTGTTGGTTTATTTGTCATTTTTTTTTTTCCTCCTCTCCTGGATATTTATTTCTTTGGTATTTTGAATAGATGTTTTAAATGATATGAACCGGACCTTCAAGAGCCTTAAATAGTTTCTTTGATAATTTATTATCATGTGAACTGTACTCACAGGGGAAAAAATTATTTTGTGAGGCCAAGCAAAACTGCGCAGAGTCTATTTTTCTACATGTCACGTGTGTCCTGACTTTCAGAAAGAAAAATTCTGTACTTTCCCATCTCTCCATTACATCGCTCCTTCATTTCAGCAAGTCTAAAAAACAAGCAAGCAAGCAAGCAAGCAAACACACAAAAAAAAGACAAACTTCATGGGGGTCCGTAAATTATATTTTTATACACAGAATTGTAAATTAGATTTTTTTGAGAGATCAATACTTAACTGAATCACATTTCGTTTTTTGAAATAGTGTAAAATATGAGAATATATTATTTTAATTTAAATAGTTTCAAATGTAACGTCATTTCCTGTATTGTTTTCCATGTTTTGCTTTGTAAAAACACCATTTGGCCACGTTCATGGAAGTCAAGACTGTTACACAAACTTTTTATTTGCAAAAGCCGTAAGAAACTTTGTTATTTTTAACTTCAAAAAAAAAATTTATTAGAAAATAATATTTTTTAAAAAGCGCACATGGCGGCAATTCTGTGACGATGGAGACGGTAGTTTGTACAGAGGGGAGAAAAGGATGTTTTGCATTAATAAATTGAGAAATAACTGCTGTAAATTTACTAAAATGTATTTTTGAATATTTTGTAATAGTTTTAATAGTTTTATAGAAATAAAATGTGCCATGCACAGTCTGGTTAGTATACAATAACTAAGAGTTCTTGGTGCATCCCATTTTTTTTTTCCTTTTTGCTTATTGGTTTAGGAAACATGATGCCTAAAGGAGTGCCCGTTATTTTATTTAGATGTGTTACTTATAACTTTTAATTTTGGTACTTTAATTAAGGAAACGAATCCATCACATCCGCGCGTAACCTGGAATCTCTTGTACTAACAGTAGAACCTCACTTATTCGCACGAGTGGCCGGGAGATGTGGTTTCCCTTCGCCGGAGCCCCGGCTCCTCGTCCACGCTCAGGCGATGCTCCCCTCTTCCAGCGCCCGCCCTGGCTCCGTGTCCATCTCCTGGTCTGGTCTGGAGACTGCAGATGGCTCTTAAAATTGATTTCTGAGGGCGTTAAATCAAGTTTGCCTTTTGAAGCATGTTAATCTGAAGGCAGGCAGCTGCCTTCACCTTGTGGCGGCACCGGGATTTTAATTGGCTTTAACCTGGGTGCCTGGAAGATGGAAATCTGGGGGACAGACACTGACTTTGGTGAATTAACTGGGATTCATGTGGCTGATGCTGGAAGAAGGAGATGGCTACCAGATTTCACTGACCACCTTGCCTGAGTAACAATGCAGGGCTTGGGGCCACCAAGAAAAGAACAAAATACCCTTTGCAAAACATAAAAAAAGAGAGAAAAATTTGTTCATTTATTCTGAGAGACATTCCTTAGCTGTAATGCATCAGAGTCTGTCCTGAGCCATTGATGGGTGAACGTATTGGAGATGTGTTTTAGGAGCCAAGTGGTGGGGCCAGTGCTGCATCCCCTGCCTGGTCCCATCCCCAGGCCCCACTGAGGGGCTCGTCCTCGACGGGTGCCGATGAGTGAGGTTCTGCTGCACCACGTGCTCCTCCCCGGAGGGTTTCCAGGATCCCGTTAAAAATTTTGCAAAACATTGTGTGTGCGTGTGTGTGCGCGTCTGCGACAGGACCGTGCCAGAAGGGAGCTTTCCTTGAATGTCTTCTCACCTTTTCTTCAGTTTCCATTACTCGCTGGTCTAGGACGTTCATCCATCAGGCAGCCTTCTGCTCCAGAGATGCAGCCACGTCCTCTGCCAGGATGGATGGCAGCTCCAGGTGGCCTCCTTGGATGTCCTCACCTGGGGCCACTTCCAGAGAGTGTAGACCATGCTCTCCCACACTGAAAGCCTGGGAGCTTCCAGAGCGGTGCCAGGAGATGGTGGCCAAGCCCCGGTCATGAACACCCCTGTGTCAAGCCCTAACAGATGGATGTGGTCTCTCCTTCCCGGCAGCTTCTCTCCAGGGCCACTTCCACCCTCCGAAGCTTGGACACGGCCAGGGTGGTGAGACTTCAGTGTGACCGCTGGTGTGCTGCAGCGCCCACGTGGACTGCCGGGATAGGAACCAAGCCACCCTAATAATGCCCACGCAGGGGAATGTGGACTGTCCAGTGGGTGCCGGGGACCTACTGCCAGCCCCAGCTTGGACCTTGCCACCTCCGTGTCTTTGGGGTCTGCTGGTGTGTCGGGGGCTGCAAACGCATCTGGTTTGGGGCATGTCAAAATGTGATCATGGAACAAATGAGTCTCTGCTGTAAGACTCTGGCCTTTGTATGGCAGTGTCTGGGCATCTGAGCTCTCTCACCCCTGTCTCTGAATGGCGGCTGGTGTCTTGTAAAGCCTTTACACTTAAAAAATGACCGTGTTAGAGCCTACCTTTTCCAGAGGTCAGGCGGTGGAGGTGTTTAGAGATGTCAGTGACCAAACTTCAAGCTGTTGGCTTGGGGGCTTCAGTCTAAATCATAACTGAGATGAAAAAGACCCATTAGACCAGAGCCCACACTTGTGTGAGGGTAGGGTATGTGCCCCAGTAGGGACCATATCAGATATTGCCACATTTAATCTTCACTGAAAGGCTGAGATGATCTCAGAGCTTTGTGGTGTGAGAGAAGCTAAGATGCTGTCTTATACTAGGATCAACCTGTTTCGCCAAGCAAAGAAATGCTGTGCCGTGTTCTCCATTGCGTGTATTTCGAGTGACTGTATGCCTCCCTTTCACCGTATATTTATTACATCTCTTCCTTTGGCGCCTCACGTCTGGATCACCTCTCCGTGGTATGCAATTAGAAGTGCTTCATTAGATGGACCTATCCAACCTATAGCTACAGCTCTCGTATGAAGGATGTACTGTCATAACATTGTGCAAAACGCCTAGGAGATGTCACCGTCCATTTTCAGGGTCCGAGTATGGCAATAGTTTGTATAAAATGTACACATAGTGGTGGCTACAGAATAGTTTATGACTAAATACATATCTATTACTGTTAAAATAATGTATAAGAATGTACTTGAAGCTATTATCCTTGTGCTCTGTTGTCTGAATAATTAAAGAAATTACAGAGACTTCCTGAAATGTGACAGCATTCCTATCGCACACTCTCAGCTCTGCGGTTTTTCCCCCTGTGACATTGAAATGGGGCACGGGGAGCCCGGACCTCGGTCCTGTGGGATTTGGTATGGGACCCTTCAAACATGGCAGGAATTGTGCCCATGCTGCTTCATGTGATGGTGGCAACCTCCCTCTTCTCCCACCTAGAGCCATGCAGACAGTCTACCATTTACCTGCGAAATACCGCGTGGCTCTGCAAAGCCAACTCATTTGGCAGGGTTTTGTGGGGAGACAGAGATGCCCTGAAGGTCAGCCCATCAGCAGCTGCCTGTCCTCCCCAGCCTCCCCCAACCAAGCCAACGTGCGAAGTGACCCTAATGAGACTGGGGCTATTTTGTGTTTATCTAACCGGTCTTTCACGCAGTGCCCCAGTGCTCAGACACCAGCTAAACCAACCGAAGGGAAGCTTGGATGTGCCCGTAAAAGAGGATCTCATCCACAGTGCAATTAAAATCCAAGCCAAGCACTGGAGCAAACCAGGTTTTTCACATTCAGGTAGCCATGCTGTGCCACAGCCAGCAGCTCCTTGTGCCCTCACATATGAAAGTTTGCTTAGCTATATCTTTATATATATATATGCACATGTATGTATACATACATAATATTATTATCCCTATATTAAGAGCTCAGCATATCCTACAAGGCTATAAATGTGTTCATGTTGGCCCTCCCAAGCATTTCACATCACACCAAGGTTGAGCAGGGAATGCAAATCAGCCCAGTTGGGTGATAATTGGGCAGCAGTTTTGCAACTCCAGTACAACATCTATTTCAATTACAGGGGGAAGGAAATCAGAAAGAGCATTTTATGTTACTCATTACTGCAAGCCATAAGGGACCACTAGATTTCCTAAGCTTTTGAAATCCTCTCTTCAGCAGTTTCTGCCTTAAAACTAGTGCAAACTTTACCGAAAAAAAAAAAAAGGTCAATTTTCCATGTACAGAACATTTCAGCACTTTTAGTGGAGCAGTGTTAATGTGGTCCTTGGCCTACGCAGGTTGAAAGGGGAAAAATCATCTTTAAAAAGTGCATCTTTACAAGCAACGGGATTGTCTCAGATTTTGATGGGAGCAGGATGAGGCCCGCAGGCACTGTTTATGCCAAGATTGTTAAATATGATTTTTAATACTTTGCATTTGGAGTGTTTAGGCTTACATATTTAAATAATTTTCATTTTCAGGACTGAAAAGAAGCGAGCAAATCCAGCCAATATGAGTTTAATAATCCTGTCCTGGTTCCAGTAAAATCAAAAGCAGCATCCAGAGCTGATCCGAGTGCACATGGAGTTGTTCTGTTACCTTAAAGCCCAGTGCAGGACCCTATATAACTTCTTTTCCTTCCATCCTTAAGTGAGAGCAAGCCAGCTCCTTGGACGAATATTACTGCAAATCAGGAGTGAAACCACAAGGTCAGGAAATCTGTCTGGGGTAAAAATATTTGTTCTGATGTCCTGTGACCTAAATGGGAAATAAATATTAGATTTGCTCAGTTTGGTGTAAACAAATGTCCGTTCATATTACTGAGAAGGAGAGGCAACAAGGGATGCTCTGTGTGGTGTGACTGCGGAGGGTTCCTTGGCCACCAAATTTGCATCTGGCTGCTGCCCAAGGGCAGGAGGGCTTGGACATGGGCAGGGCAGTGGGGACGCTGTAGGAGCACCCTGTGCTTTGTGGGGTTCCGCTTGACTCTGGGGATGGCACAGGGACCCTTTCCTCACCCCATCGCTGCGGCAATGCTTGCCTGGACCAGCTCGCTGGGACACCACGATGTCTCCCTTGAAATGCACTCACAGGAAAAATATACTTGGGAACGCTGTATCGTTCCAAGTCTTGAGTCTTTTGATGGCATTCGCTGCAAGGGAATGGATGATAAATCTGTATGCAATTACAGCAACATCCTTTCGGTATCATGACACAGAGGCGCTATGTCACAGACCTGTCATAGGGTTTCACTGGGCGGAGGAAGCTGATTTTACAAGCAGGGTACAGCTCAGGCTTTGGCTAATTTGCAGCAGCAAAATATTTCACGAGCTTTTTTGGAACAGTTTAGGCTGGAAGGGGGCTCTAGTGGTCCCAAGTCCAACCCTGGCCCATACGGGGCTGGCTTAGAGCAGGCTGCTGGAGGCCATCTTCCGTCAGGTCCCACGTGTCTCAGAGCATGGAAAGCCACCATCCCTCTGGATGACTGGCATAGTTAAGTTAACATTTTGCCTAAATATTTCAATATCGCGTTCCATCTACCAATAATCTTCCTTTATATTCTCTTTTTATTTCTTCTTGGGGGAAAGAGACCCAAGAGTTAAAACAAGATTAGTTTTAAGAAATCCCAGGTCCAAAATCCGTGACATTCAGAGTTCTGCCGAGCGCTGCTTCTGCTCTTGCAGCCCGCACTGAGCAGAGACAGCTGAAACATTACTCGCCCAGCTAGCCTCTTCTCCATAAGTCAGTCCCGTCCTGTTTTCCACAGCAGTAAGCACTGTTTTTAATTATTAGACTGTGATGAGTGCAAATAAATATTAGTCTCAGGATTGCTCATGAACAATTCTCTTGGAATAGTCACTGGATTAGTGTAAGCTTTGTTTGCTTTGCCAAATGATGCCCTCTCTACTCTGCAAAGTTTTTCTAGAAACAGGAGCGTAATAAATGTACAGTATCAAACAAGTCTGTTCTGGCACAGTATTTGTATGAATAACCATTTTGTACTAACACCAGTGGAAGCTACGGGGTTCACAGGCAACAGAAAATCCAACTGCCATTCAAATATTTGCAAATAATGAATCATGTGATCCCACAAATAACAACAAACCAACCTGGTTGCTTTCATTGAGGAAAATGATTATGAATCACTGTGTACTGTGGGCTCGATCCAACAACCACCAGCGTCAAAAGGAGTCTTTCCACAACTTCAAACAGGCAGGGAGCTG